CAATCCATAAGGAGGGACCAAATTACAATATAATAAAGGTAGATTTCATTGATTAGGAACAGCATTGTATTTTACATCATCCCATCAAAACTAGAATATAAGAAATAAAGAAAATTTTTTAAAAAAAACAAATCTTTTTATCAACTCTAAACAATTGAATGATAACGAAATGACCAATTCTCAAAAAATAACAATTTTTTAAGAGCTTGTAAACTTGGTAACAGCTTTAGTTCCTTCAGAAACAGCATGCTTAGCCAATTCACCAGGCAATACCAATCTAACAGCAGTTTGAATTTCCCTAGACGTAATCGTAGGTTTCTTATTGTACCTCGCAAGTTTAGAAGATTCCTGAGCCAATTTCTCAAATATATCGTTAATAAAACTGTTCATTATCCCCATCGCTTTGCTTGAAATTCCAATATCAGGATGCACTTGTTTCAGAACTTTGAATATATAGATCTTATACGTTTCGGAACTCTTCTTAACCTTCTTCTTCTTCTTTTCTCCGATACCAACACCAACATCCTTCGTCGGAAGCTTCTTTCCGGCTTTTGGCTTCTTCTCCGCCGGAGCTTTATCGTCGGAAGGTTTTTCCGATGCCGGATTCTTCTCGGCGGGCTTCTTTTCTGCTTTAGGAGCCATGGATTAGTGTAGAAATTTAGCGAAGGATGAAATTTTTGTATGATGGAGAAGAAAGGGTGTGGGTTTGGTATTTATAGGTAATGGAAGTTGGTTCTGATTGGACAATGTGGAGTGACGAGGATCGATGTCGTGGATTGATCAGAACCGTTGGATTTGGTTTGAAGATCAACGGCTTTAAGAGGATAGTGGAACTGTGCACGTGTAGATTCATTTGCTACGGAAATAATGGCGTCGAAAGAGGGGGAGGAATGAGTAAAAATAACTAGCTTTTTGGGTTGTTATAATTCACTTTTTTATTTTTAAGTTGGATGGAATGATTTGGTTTCAACTTCTTCTTTTTTTTCTCAAAAATACATGATAATTTTTTGGAAAAATTATATATAATAATGAACTAATAACCTAAAATAAATTGAGTAGCTACAGTTTGATTTAATTGTGCTCCATAGCAAACGTTTACAAAAAATTGTCAGGCGCCTCTCTCCCAAATATCTCGCTCGTCACTCTCCTTTAATCTCTCGCTCGCTTCCTCACTTTTTATACAAACACAATTGTATAAAAATTGTTTCTAATTGTATAAAGCAGAGAAAATTGTATAAATACATATATTTTTGTTCCCCTCTCTTCCATCTTTCAGATCTCGCTCGCCACTCTCCCAATTCTCTCTCGCCACCCTCACCTTTCTCACTTATACAAACAGAAGCGAAATGTATGAATTGCGTTTCTGTTTATATATAAAGCGTGAGAAAATTGTATATACACGTGCAAGTACATATATTTTCATCTTATACACTTATAAATATACAATAAAAATACTCCACTGCTCAGTTTCTTTTGCCTTTCTCTTTTTCTCGTTTTATACAATTTTCAAATTGTATATAATTTCTCTCTTTCTCGTTTTATACAATTCGATTCAATTGTATATTCCTTGTCAAGTCTCTTTTGTCTTTCTCTCTTTCTCATTTTATACAGATTCAAATTGTATCTAATCGTTCTATACACTTATAATAATACAATTCGTTTTATACACTTCGTTTTTATACAGTTCTCTGCCCAAGTGTCTTTCTCTTTCTTGTTTTATACATTTCGTTTTATACAATTTGCTTCAACTGTATATGTATAGCGAATTATACAGTTTCTATGTTTGCTATGGAGCACAATTATGCAAACTTTGTATAGCATACAAATATGAATTTTTTATTTGCTATATGTGAAAGTTGCCCTAATTTTTATAATTTAACTTATAGTGGCATTTTTTTAAACATAAAGATATATATATATATATATATATATATATATATATATATATATAAAGAGAGTGTGTATATTATCCTTCTTTATGATTTTAGCTTATAGTTTATGGTTCAACATCTATAGTTGGTGTATTCTTAAGTATTATGTTTTACGTTTTATTTGTGATTTATATTAGAAGGTATAGTAAGAGATTCAATATTATTACTTCTCCTTTTATATATTAAGAGAAGTAATAATATTGGATCTCATATATATTCAAATCACAAGTATAATTTTGATTATATTTCTAATTATTACATAACAGAATAATCAAATCAAACCATATTTATTTTAGTTCAGATTGAATTATACATCTTCAAAATCAAAAATATCAAAAAAATCGAAAACTTCAAATCGAATAGTATAAAATCAAATCGAAAATCGAATGCACACCCATATTTACAATACATTAGTGAGCTATTGTTATTTTTTAATTTAAAAAATGTTTGGTGACCTAATAAGTATTATACCCATTGTTTGATTTATTTCGATTTAGAAAAGAGTTTGACAGTAATTTTAAAAAAAACTTAGAATTTCAAAAAATTTAAAATAAAAAAATCGATGGAAATGCCAAAGGGGGATTTGGGGTTCACATTATTACTTTAAAAAAGGTTTTAAAGGATTTGAAGTGTCTGCTAACACGTGATTATCCGACGATTTAAAATATTTGACTAATAACTTAAAAGAAAGTAGATATGCATATTACTTAAGAAAATAAGAAAATAATTGAAATATTTTACACTTAAAACATTTTTGAAAGAAAATATATATATATATATATTCTTGTCAAGTAAAAAGTCTAAAATTTTTCAAATAAAGGATTTATAAATAACTAAAACGAGAATGACTCATCTTTAGCGAGCTTGATGTAAGTTAAACTTCAACATTTATCATCAAATAAGTAAATAAAAGTTAAACAAATTAATAAAGGAAAATTACGCAATAAAGCAAACTTATACTATTTAACTACTTATCATAGCTATAGTTCGCTATAATTACCACTCGATACTAACATTATACATTAACTACGTGGGCTGACTTCGAGTTTGTATAATTAGTCACGTTTATATATGTCTATTTGCCAAAATATACAAATACATATGTATAATATATAATTTATTGAACTTATATACACATACAATTCACCTCTGTCCAACTCTATCCCCTCTCTCGCTCTCCTCTCTCCTTCCTCTCCCAATCTCGTTTGCCTATATACAAATGTATGTGTATAATATATAATTATATAAATATACAATTCACTGCTCTTCCACTCTCTGCCCTCTCTCGCTCACCTCTCTCCTCCCTCTCTCAATCTCGCTCGCCTATCTCCTCCCTCTCCCAGTCTCACTCGCCTCTCTCCTCCCTACCCCATTCTCTCTTTCCATATATACAAATACATATGTATAATATACTATTATCTAACCAATATAGATATACAATTCACCTTTCTCCTACTCTTTTCCCCCCTCTCTCTTCCAGTCTCGCTCGCCTCTCTTCTCCATGTAACATATAACTACAAATTATAATTATCAAACTATAGCTATGAAGAGTAATTCATTAATTTTAAGTGGCTATATGTGAAAGTTCCTCAATTAAAAATACAATAAAGAAAGAGATTTGGGCCCAAGTCTTGTTTTTGGCCATCTGAGCAAGTAGTTGGGCCTAATTCTGATTTTGAGCCTTCGGCCTATTCTATCCCTGTCCTAAACCTAACACAAAAGGCAGCCAAAATAAATGGACTTCGGCCCATTTCATTCAAAATCTGTTGCTGGAAATCTTTGGGGCTTTGGCCTCATTTTCGTGACTGTATACAGTTTCTGTATATTAATGTATATCTCCTATATATTCTGCGTATTCTTATGTATACAGGATTCGTAGAACACAACCAGTAGCTAACAAGTGAAATCTTTCCTTTCCAAATTCTGAGGTGTTACATTTCTTTATGTATAATATTGATTGAAAAATTGAATACGTAAATTTTAATTTAACTGAAAATATTGGTAATATATATTTAAAATGGTTTTTTTTCTATAAAATAAACTTAGTATTAAAAGTACATTGATACTTACATTTGTTCTTTATTTGACTCTTATAAGCACTTTTTTAAAAAATGGTTAGTCAAACACAATTTTCTTATCAAAAGCATTTTTCAAATAAATTAGTCAAATACAAATTACGTTTTTCAAAAGCATTTCTTTAAAAGTCATTTTTAAGAAAGTTTTTCTAAAAATAACCAGCATTTAGCAACAATACCAAATAAGCTCCAACATCATAATATCATTTTTATTCTATTAGCAATTAATTACATAGATTTGTTTGAATTTATCATAAAATTATTTTATTAATATTTTATGACCAGTAATTTAAAGATATAAATTCATCAGCCTTATTTGAACTACACCATAAACTCATCTACGTATAATATTGATTGAAAAATTGAATATATAATTTTTAATTTAATTAAATTAATTTTTTTTATCAAAATATTGGTAATATACATTTAAAATAGTTATTTCTCTATTAAATAAACTTACTACTAGAAGTACATTGATAATTACACTTTTCATAATTTGACTCTTAAAAGAACTTTTTTAAAAATGATTAGTCAAACATAATTTACTTATCAAAAATATTTTTAAAATATATTAGTCAAACACAAATTACTTTTTTCTTTAAAAGTCATTTATTAAGAAGTGTTCTTAGAAATAAATAGTTTTTTTTAGCAACAACGCCAGATAAACTCCAACATCATAATATCATTTATATTCTGTTAGCAATTAATTACATAGAATTATTTGAACATATTATTTTATGGCCAATAATTTTTTAAAGATACAGATTTACTGGCCTTATTTGAACTAGTATCATAAGTTCATTTATATCTTTTATAAAGTAATTTATAAATTACAGATTTATTAAGATTATACTAATTAATAGTATAATAACTTCACATCTTCCTTCAGCCCCTATATAAGAGTCCCAAATGACATCAACAATTCATACTTATATAGCATACAAAAGTTCAATAGTGAAAAAAAATATGAAGAGTTACACTATGTTTATTCTTTTCTCTATGACAATATTTTTCACTTTGTTTAATCATTCAATAGGTATGATTTTTTTTTATTCAATGCATATGAAATTCTTTTATCTATAATTATGTGTTATAATATAGGTTTTTATTATTCATCGTTTTAATCATGAGCAATCTTTTCATTATTTTGTATCAGGTGACGGTCCTAAATTTTGCCCAGGAACTTTTACGGCTAATGGTGTATGTGCTAATATTGATTGTGGAAATCTAGCTCTATTACAGTGGCCAGCAAGTTCGATGCCTCATGATTGTGTTTGTTCTGCATCTGGAAGCACTCAAAGTCTTTGTACCTGTCAAATTCGTTGTTAAAACAAAATTATGCAATAAAAGTGATTATTATTGATGTTAATTGAGTAATTATACGTGTCCATTGAATGATTGAGACTATATAAAAACAAATAGACATCAAATTAATGTAACATATAAATTATTATTTAAATAACCTATAAAATATATCGTTTCTGAAAGAAAATTATCAACTTAGAATTTTGAATCAATATATTATTTGTATGTTTAATCATTACGAAATTTATTCTACAACGTTGATCGATAAATTTTACATTTAACTACATAATCTTTTTTGTCGCAAACACCATTAAAGTTACTGCGAACTTACGGTTTACATAAGGCTAAGGACCTATTTGGCCACAAATATATATATTTTTTTAAAAGTTGAAAAACAAAATCGAAAATTGGTGTTTGGCCAAGTTCTCAGGTTCTAGAAAAAGCTAGAATTTGGGAGTTTTTTTAAAAATTATTCCTGAATTTTTATATTTTATAAAATACCCGTCATTTATAGTTTTGGACTAATTTATTTTCTAGTTTGTTATACAAAATTTATGGCATTTTATATAATTTTTATCTAAATTTGTTCTCCGAAGTTACTTCTGATTACAAATAGTATTTTCTTTTGTTTTCTTCCTCTCTCTTTTTTTCAAATTCATATTAATTATGTCTATCGCCACTATTTTTCACAGAATATTTTTATTATAAAATGATAACACAAATGTATGAGCATTTTGAAAAAACAATAGAACTAATGGATATAAATTATTTTTTAAAAAAAAAGTCAAATATTTCTCCCAAAAGCTATGGCCAAATCGTTCAAACGCATGGTAAAATTTTATCCAACAATACTTTTGATAAATAAAAACACGATATATAAACATACTTTTTAACTTAGTTTTGACTGACATCTATTTTTAGCTTTAGAAATATATAACAAGTAGCCGTCTTAGCTCAGTGGTAGAGCGCGTGGCTTTTAACCACGTGGTCGTGGGTTCGATCCCCACAGACGGCGTTAGTATTTTTTATTTATTCTTTTGTCTTTGCATGGCTTTCGAATAACTATTAAATTAAAGATCTATAAATATTAGTAGAAATTAAATTTTGATACATGAAAATTGTTTATAAAACGTTAATATATTGTATGTGTACATATAATATATATACACGCTTTGTGAAATATATGAGTGTAAAAGGTTTCTAGTGATGGATAGGTGTGTAAAAAGGATTTTGCTAAAAAGTTGAAGAAATAAACAACTCATTCTAAACCAAGATTTACCAATCACTTGCTTTACTTAGTTTTGATATCGTTATTCTTCCCTAATATTCAGTAAAACTGCTGATTTTTTTTGGAAATCAAACGCTCACCAACAAGGTGGAGAAATACATTTGTCCTTCTCACTCACCGTGAGGGAGGTGAGACGAATTTCACGATTCCCAGGAAGAACCAATGATACTTATCGAAATTTACCTTCAGACAAGAGAAGAAGAATATCATGTTCACCAAAGGAACAAAAGAACAATAATCTATTAGTTTCATATATATGAACCATAACACATGAATAAAGAGGGAATTGACAATAATACATTCTCTCCAATAAAAATGTACATAAAAGATGTGTAGCTACATGTAGTGCTTATAATTCAGGGATTAGTAAAGCCACAGACCATGCTAAGCAAATATATTTGAACATACAGAGCCTGGATCGCATAAGAGAGAACCATAACGATGAGCGTATAAGGAATAAATAAAGCTTTGCCAGTAAAAGATTAAACTAAGTGGCACATAAGTATGCTAAGTTCCCCTGTTTGATCTTTCGTAGAAGCACGTAAGCAAATTCCCCCTTCCATTCTGTTTCTACTGTTGGGCTCGGCGTAATCCATTAGCAATTTGGGATCAGTTTCTTTCGATCACTCTGTGCTAGCTGAGATACTCACTAAGGAAGAGCAGATGAAATCCTTGACAAGTCACAACTTAACTATGCACTTTAAAGCATATCAGGTTCGGGAATAACTTAAGCAGTTGATCACGGCTGCGATTCTACAAAGTAATGTATCAACAGTCAGAAATTCATATGAATCATGGGGAAATATGAGAAGATGTGCAAGGGCATATGGGAAGAGCAGGGACTTCCAGCTGACCAAGTAATAAACTTAGAAAACCTACTGGGAAAACCATATTGAAAGGCTTAGCTTATAATTGCTAAACCGCACGATCCAGTTGTTTTTCGATTTCATCACATCTGATTTTATGAGCCAATATTCCAGGAAACAAAGGAAACTGATTATTTCTCTTATGTTTTAACCTCACAAAAAGACAGGGAGATCAACAATGATGTTGCACATCGCATTAATTGGGGCGAGATGGGTGAAATGGGGACTTGCGTACGGGATACTGTGTGATAAGAATGTGTCACCGAAGCTTAAATGTGTCACCACTTGTGGGATTATATTGGTTATGTCGTTGTCGTTGATTCTAGGAAACAAAAGTGATGCCATGGCTGGAGATTCTAAAGAGTAAAGATAATATGTACCTTTATATTGATGCACCCATTTACATCAAGGGTTGTAAGTGTATTGGAGCAGAAGCTAGAAAGCACCTCTAAGCACCTGTCAGAGACCCCAAGTATCCCAAACAAACTGCAGTCAATACAAATAAAAATAGCAGTCAGTTTCACTGAAAGGTCACGAATTTAGTCATTACAAAAATAGTCCAGCTCATTAATAAAATTGCAAATAAATCTGCAGTCAATAGGAATTGGTTATACTTTGTATTTTATAATTGCTTGAGCCGGAGACTCAATGACTACACAAAAACATTGGAGTATTCAAAATCAGGATATCTCTATCTAGTTAGTTCACAAGATAGGATATTTGTCGATTTTGTGGAGGTGCTGAAGTAATATAGCACAGGTCATTTTGGTCTTCCTATTTTAGTGATAATTTTAGGTCCAAACTCGCCTTAATAATTCAAGAGACCTGCAGCCTTGAGCTATTGCTATGACCCCAACATCACTGATTTGTACACACCTGTAAATGTGAATATATATCAGTTCAATAACATACAATTGCATCTCCTTTTGCTCCCAATGAAAATGAAATATACTTAGGATACATACCATGTCAAATTGAGAGACACCAGATTTTTGCACATCGATATACAAGAAAGTCCATCATCTGTCAGATTCTGAAGGACAACTGGGGTTAATAGCAATGTCACTTAAACAGTTTCGGTATTGCACCAAGCAATAGCATAATCTAGAAAAGCAGTTCAAGAAAATGCTGAAGACTATACCTGAGCACCACAGAGATCCAGGAATCTAAGATGAGGTAGACGAGATATCATCTTATAAGCTTCGTCTGTTAAGCTGCAAGAAAGAAAGGAAGCAGATTGTCTAAGTAGAAACTCAAACATGTGCATTTTGTAATTGTAGTATACCATTGAGTGGTAGGAAAGGTGCATTCACACTATATGCAATGAAATGGACATGTTTTTTGAGAGATATTATAAAATGAAACAAGCGATTACGTTGAAAGGGCATAAAGGTTCAAAGTCTGAAGAGAAGAGCAGTTCAGCAATATCCGCTGCAAACCAGAATCCGTCATCTTGATGCACCTAGTCGCATCAAACAAAATCAGTACAATCAAGAAAACGTAATCATATTTGTTCCCTCTCAAAAAGGTTAAAAAGACCAAACAATTAGAAACACTCTCAAGATACTCAATTATAAGTGTCCTTCTTAGAGAAAGGGAGGCTTATATTATCATCACCCCTACAACAGACATAGGCCTAAGCCAAGAAAGGGCATCCTTAGTCCAAGAGATGCTATGTGTTATCCAGAACATTTTAAAACAACTCTTCCTTTAACTGATCTCGTGCAGACTGAGAGAAAACATCCAACCTAGTGATGTTCAATGATTCCAATTCTTGATAGTTGTCAGCAACCAGATGCAAGCTTTTATCTGTAATGTTCTGCATAACATATCAATACAAAGAGCAAAATCTTCAGAAGTAAGAGTATGGATCAAATGAAAGTAAGAGGATTTGCTTAATGAGAAGCAAGGCAACTTGTCTACATAGTGCCAACTTAAACTGTTGAAAGGGCAAAATACGAATTGGATACTGATACTTGTCAGTTGAAAGAAAGAGAGAAAAGAAAAGCAAAGGAAGAACTTGAAACATTTTGAGTTGAACGTCACAAACGACACCTCAGTATATTTGACGTGTATATCTGAAGAGCAAATTCGACTAGCCTGATGTATCTCTTGGTGAGGCTCCTATTAAAGTTGCAATAAGATAAACAGGATGATATGACTATGATACGATACCTGTTTAGTTTCTTTTTAAAGAGGATAAAATATATAAGCAGTACTTATCTATAATAGTTTTTGGCAGCAGTAATACGGCAGCTATTAGGCAGTTTTCTAAAACAGCAGTAACTATTTCTGTGTTAGAAGTTATCTTAGTATAAATATATGTATCTAGCAGAGATTCTGTAAGAAGAAGAAAAGTATTATATTTGTCTCTATATTTGGATATTTGTCCACTCCATACGGACTTAGTTATTGATTAATGCAGTGTTTAAGATTCTTGCACTTCATTTGATCAGTAAAGTTTTATTTTCATCTTGGTTTCTATCAGTTTGGTATCAGAACAAATCGATCCAATATGGTCAATAACAGATCTTCTACTTCTCAAGAAAACACTCCCTACGTTGAATCTCTAGCCCAACAATTATCTGTCATGGCATCAAACCTAAATATTATTGATCTGTTGGCAGCAGAAGTGGCTACATTGAAAGCCCAGAATGGTTGCACCCAAGAAGGGGAAACCAGTTACCGGACGAGTATTGGAGGAAAATATGTTTGGCGAGAAGAGGAAGAAGACATTAATAGACCAATGTGGCCAAAAAATCCTTGTACAGACCTTGGTCTAAACACCTATAGATGTTTAATCCGAGTTTCTCTCTTTAATGATCTTCAATATCATCTTCTTAGAGAGACTCTTGTTTGGCTTATAAAACAAGTCACAACATGGTAGAAGGACATCAACTGGAAGTCGAC